AATCACAAATCCACAAAAATAGACTGGAAGAAATGACCAGTGCAAGAAATGAAGAAATACCAACAGAGTAGCTGCAGAATTATGTTTTCATGATTAACTTGCCAGCAGAAATTTGACATTTTTAGTTTTTTTTTTCTTGGCAAATACAATATACACATGGTTGACAAATTAAAGGATACAAATGAATACATGAATAGAGAGACGTATCAGAACCTCATATTTCATGAGAAGTCACTGAATGGTTTGATTAGCATAAAACCGATGGGAAACACAGGCTATGGTCTTCGATTCAGAAAACATTCACACTCACCAGGAAATACAAACTGGGGTTTTTTCTGTATTTACTTCCAGTGGTATACAGTACTGTTAAATAAAGGAGGAATTCATTTAACACACAATAGAGTGCCTGTTTATTTCCTTCTCATCTCCCCAGCCCCCAACTAGAACTTATAATCCACCACCAACCCCACATTATCATGCAACTGCATTTAAAAAGTACAATATCTACATAAAGCATCACATAATGTGATACATGGGGAAAATATAAATATGTGGATTTAGAGAAATAAAAAACAATGAATACACAAACTGTGTAAACCTATGAATAAGCAACAAAAGAAATTGAACAGGGAGTAAAAAGATAGATTTGTGTTTATGTAAAATTAGTCTAGTGGAGCAGATGGGAGGGTTTTAAGCTTATTGCATTGGATCATGGAACCCAAAAGCAGATGGATATTTATCAGATAAGCCTCTTACTGTGTACTTCATTTTCTCAAAGCTAAAAAAAAAAATCCATTTCCAAAGGGGAGAGAGACCCTGGGAGGTGATGACAATTTTCTGTTGAGGAAACTCCACACATGCAAATGTAGTCACTCAGTCATTCAGTGAGAAACACAAGAAAGGATTTGATTTGTTTCTTACTGAATGAAGAGGGACACCAGAAAACAAGTAGTCACAGTACTGGGCTCTAGTTCTACATGCAGAAAGGGTTTCAGATGAAAATATAATAATATGTGTAGGTTCTGCAGGGACAACAAGACACCTATTGCATACAGTATTCTAGAAAACACAGCAACAGTAAAAAATAAAAAATGTAAAAAACTACACTTTTAATTTGTTTTGATCTGCAGTAGATCTGTGTTATTCAGAAGCCTCACTCTGAGTCTCTCACCCTACCTGGAAAACTCAAAAACCAGTTCTATTTGTTACTGTATAGCGTCTGCCTGCCCCTTATTCAGAGTTTTGTTTTTTGTTTTTCAGGCTGATTTAGTCCTTAGTACAGATAAAATAATGCATTATTAGACTCGATTGGCTTCTCTCAAACTGTAAATAAACCCACTCACTGTTTTAATCACTCCCTTGATCTTGTTCTGACATATGGCATTGAAACTGGACACTTAATAGTTTTCTCCCAAAACCCTCTTATGTCTGACCATTTTCTAATAAGGCAGTGAAACAGAGGAGGCTAGCCCCGTGGTACAGCTCGCAGCTCCGCCCCCTAAAGCAGGCATCACGAAAACTGGAAAGGAGGTGGCGCTCCACTAAGTCAGAAGAGTTTTTCATAGCCTGGAAAGATAGTTTAATAACATATAAGAAAGCCCTTCATAGTGCCAGAACCGCATTTTATTCATCACTGATTGAGGAAAATAAGAACAACCCCAGGTTTCTTTTCAGCACTGTAGCCAGGCTGACAAAGAGCCACAGTGCTGTTGAGCTTAACATTCCCTTAGATCTCAGCAGCAATGGCTTCATGAGCTTCTTTACAAATAAAATCACAACTATTAGAGAAAAAATTAATTAGATCCTTCCCACAACTCACAGATGTGCCATCAAGTACAATGGCTTTAGAAGCATCTGTCAGACCTCGTTTATACTTGGACTACTTCTCTCCTATAGATCTCTCTGAGTTGACCTCAACAACTGCTTCATCTAATTCATCAACGTCTCCTGGACCCCATCCCAACCAGGCTGCTCAAAGATGTTTCACTCCTAATAAACACGTCCATATTAGATCTGACTAACCTCTCTCTATTAACAGGTTATGTTCCACAGGCTTTTAATGATGTTGTTATTAAACCTCTACTCATAAAGCCTACTCTTGACCCTGGTGTTCTAGCTAATTATAGACTAATATCCAATCTCCGCTTGATTTCTAAAATCTGTGAAAAATCAAGTATATACAGAAGGTGAAGCATTATGGCACATCATACATATCAGTGAATTGGTGACACTGCCAGTTAAAACTTTCTACTGGTAGTGTTTGTGAAGACAAATCATTCAGTGCAGTCTAAAAACTGAATTAGCTTAGTTGTCTATCTCCTCATCAAAACAAGCATTACTAAGTAAATACATCCTCTACAAACAACATCAAATGATACTAAACATAAAAATGAAAATGTTAAATGACAAGATGTGGTTAATTATTGACTTCCAACTGGCAGGATGACAGTGTTTGTCATTCACCAGGCAGAAAGGTTATCTGGGTAAATAAAAGTCTGTTTACAGGTCTTGGGGAGTACTACTGCATACAGTATGTTAAAAAAAAAAAGTTAGTACAAAGTGTGCTGGAGCTCCTGGGGGAGTTGTGTGAAGTCTGATAAAATGTCTGCTGGAGCTGAAGACTACAAGTTTGAAAATCAAAAATATTCTGGGGGTGTGGGTTAAAAAGAAGTGAGCTCACCAGACTTCTGTTGTCTGCTCATCTCTGCTTGAGACTAGAGACTCAGGGCAGCAGTAGCCTCTACACTACCAGCATGACAGAGTCAGCACAGTAATGTGGTAATGTAGGCACCAGGTTTGATAATGAAGAAGATGATTCTGCTGCATTTATTTGGATCCTTTTTGTTTAAAACTGTTCATCATGTGTACCACACTGTAAAAGCAACGGTAACTCAGTGCAGTTCTCTTTATGGTTAGGGAA